CAGCAAACCGGGTTTGACATGCTGGAGCGGGAGCTGTTTTTTTGCGGGAGCAATGTTTTTCAAGTGTCCGAAAAGCATGTTTGTTGCAATCATGCAAACATCATATCCCAGGGACTAATAAGCCTTAAAGGACTAGTGTTTAGGAATTAGTGACATGAGATGACAAGATTACTCACCTCCCTGTTCCAAGCATGTAGAAGCTACTGTGGTGGCCCTGAAACTATCTATGCAGTGTTTGGTTTGTCCGTTCTGGGCTACTGTAGAAACATGCTGGTTCAACATGGCGGACTCATTCTACACAGCAATTCTTATTCTTATTTTAATTATACACTAATGAAAAATATACCTATGGACATTATATTGAAACTTTAATACTTAAAGTGAAACACTCTAGAATACTAGCTAGTTAATTTGACTGAAACTTAGAAACTGTGGTGTTACTAGTAGTAGAAAAACAAACATGAGAAAAAGGTTTTATAATTATTTACTTTTGAGAAATTAAAGAAATGTTGAGTAGTGTTTACTGTGTCCACAGTCATTTACTGGCTCATCAGCAGCAGCTGATAGGCAGTGAATAGTACCCTTCTTAGATCTACCTTATATCAAAGGGTTGTCAAGCCTTATCCTGCTGGCTTACTTCTCTGGTGTGTTTGAAGATCTCAGGTCTGCTCCACAACATGAGCAAAGAAACAATGATCTTGTCACAACAAACAGCCTGTTCTCCTGTTATCCTCCAGTTATTCAGCTCTGGCTGACAGGAACTGGAATGTGTAGAAGTCTCCAGAGGGATGGCAGATAGATGGTACAGTGACTCTCAATCAGGGATTTAGTCTGTAAATAATGCCTTTTTTTATTTTATTTACAGTAAATCACAGTTGCCTCTTATGACTAATGCATTTTGCACTGAATGTTTTTAACCATTCATAGCAGTGAAAATTATGTTTTTGGATTTTTAAAGACTTAGTCTGAACTCAAAATATAGTCAGTGCTTTGATATATGGAGAGAAGAAGATCTTTCCACAAAGGGTCAATACCATACCACAATATCAGTTACCATTTCTATGCCTTTGAGACACAATTATATCTCTCCTTTGACAGTAATGACACCAGTCAATTAAACAAGAACAATGGCACCTAATCACCTCCTATGAGCTGAAATGGTCTCTGAGATCCTCTGGTAGGTCATTCCTGGCCACTCCTCTTTTAAACCTTAAAATTGAAGGTGACCAGGCCTTTTCAGTTCAGTCGCCTCAGTTGTGGAATGACATCAGGGATGCTAACAAATTGTCTTCTTTTGAGTCACTTCATGTTTGGTGACATGGTAAAGCAGCATGGGATCATGGGATTTGTTGTCTTCACCACCATTATCATCATTCAAGAGGTTTCTATCTGGAGTGCAGTTATCCTCCTCTCTAAAACAAACAGTCTCACTGATTAAAACTTGTAAAAACTGAATAAAGCAGTTCCTTTCTTAAATATCACTGTTTCTCCCACACTGTTAGGCAGATAAACGACAAGCTGCTGCTAACATTAGTTCAGCTTGTTTCTCTGACAATTAAACTAGCAAAAACACTGGCTTAAACGTCCGCAGGGGAGCTAATGACAGAGCAGCATTTCTTACCCATGATGTCTGCTGAGCAGGCCAACACTTCAATGTCAAATCACATAATAATCACCGACTGAAGGCCAAATTTATCATCTTAGGAATGTTTAATATTCCATATAGTCAGAAGCTAAAACATTTTAACATAAAGGTGAAAGGAGTACATTTCACTGAATGCACTTACAGAGCGATACCACTGGGCTGCATTGATCTGAAATGAGATTATACTGGAGGCCAGATACACAGAGCAGGAATACTGGATATCAGAAATACAGGTAGATAAAAGAACATCAGTAAGTGTGTGCGTTTGTGTGTGTTTGTGTGTGTGTGTGTGTGTGTGTGATGCTGTCAGCCTAGTGGCACAATGAAACCTCAGCTCCTGCATCTGGTTAAATATAGCAGGGTTCTTCAGAGATAAAAAAATATTTTTCACAGTATTTTTTCATCACATCCATGCATGTCATTGTAAATCATCCATGACACACCTCAAATGGCACTTAAAAAAAAGAAAAGGAAAGAAAAAAAGAAAAGGTTGTTTACTTTCATTGACACGGTAGGTATAAGGATGAGTCGAGGATCAGACTCGAGGAATGTGTGTTGCCAGAGTGTGTGGGTTGATGCTGTTGTGATGAGCTGAATCTTCCTTTGGGCTGCGTTTAATGACTTCAATCGAGTGTTTGCACAATACGACAAATGCACCGAAGACGTACGGAACCAAATCTCGGCGGATGGAGATCACAAAACACTTCGAAACCCAGCTGAAATTACCCTGAAATGATACATTTGCACAGAGAAAAAGCACAGGAAACGTCACCCCCCATCCTCACTCTCCTCAGTTTTCCCTTTTTTTTCTTCAAAAGCCGACACAACAAACAAATATAAAAACATCTGGCACTGCGAACACTTGGCATCTGTCAAATCATAAAACAACACAACAGTGGAAATAAACTACGCGGTTTTCGTCGACAGCCAATGTCTTCACAGAGGCAGCACAGCCAGGAGTCCTACACTCGCTCGAAGCAGTACAGTAGTAGTATTAGTACCAGTCAGCGCTTGATTGAAGGTGAAGTAGTACGTTAAGCAAGAGTCCACTCTCCCTCCAGGAGACCATTCTCAAGTCTGATTGTTAGCCAACCTATAAAGTGCTTTCAAAAAAATAATCTCCTCCATATCATAATCATCCTCATCTATACAACAGATCAGTGTCTCAGTTAGGGCGATGTTACGAGTAGGAAAGAGAAGAGAGGAAGAATTAAAAAGGGTCTATTCAGGCACGAGCAGAGAGCTCTTCTCTTTCTCCTCCTCTGTTCCTTCTCTTCACGGCTTTTCTTTTCCTTTCAGATTTTTTTACTTCTTGAAGGGTGTCAGTCTGCCGATGTTGTGCCAGAAGGTGGAGGTTTTGCGCTTGGGCTCGGCCAGCATGAAGACCTGCTGCTGGGGTAGAGCGGTGGGCAGAGAGGGGTGTTTCTGTCGCAAGAGGAAGTCATAGTAGGGTCTGGTCACCGCTGAAGAAGAGATAAATGAAAAATATAATTACTTATCACTTTCTTCAGAGTTATCATATACAGCTGAGAAAAGCTGACAGAAAGCATGTATTCAATATATTTAAGGACTGTATTTATTAAGTGTCACAGGCCTGGAATTCTCAATTTCACAGGCTTTTTTGGGGATTGTTTTGTGGTCTAAAATTCCTGATTTTAGGTGGGTAATTCAGAGGAAAATAGAGAATTTTCTAGATTTGTTTGCTTCTGCCACCAATGCTGCTGATTTACTGGTATGTTTGCATTATAAGTTTTTTTCCCAACAATAAATTTGATAGAAAATGTTGCTGAACCCTGAACTATACACTATATATATACTATATATATATCAGTGAAACTCTGAACATGTTTTACATTATACACCTGCTAAAACGGAAAAAGTGTTTTCTTTAGAGCTAATGAAATGTTTTAAATGTGAAACAACTGTGCAGGAAGAAGTTTCATTTCATTTCAGCTGTTGATATGGTAATATTGGTGATAGCTTCATTTAATTAATAATCAGTTTCCAATTAATAGTTCACTGTATTTAATAAAACTGAATCAATCAATTATAGGCTATTGTTTCCCTGTTTAAGGGTAGTGTAGTAGTATTTTGGATAGCCTAAATTGAATTGATTGACAGTATGGTGCCCCTTTAAATGATTGCAATCCCAAAAGCAAGAAATTAAAGATGTCTAACATTAAAAGAAGAAATGCTGACAATGCTTTAGCCTGATTTGAATGAATTGCCATTAAGTCTTCACTTAATTAACCAGCAACAACCCATAGAACAGCATTAAAGTCATCTGGGCCCAAGCCACAGAAAGAAACTACACACCATCATTTCATTTTAGGGTTGATGCTCTAATTATGTTATAATTGCCTCTCGGTCTCTGTTCTGTCTCTGTTTTATACAAAAGTACTGTTTTCATTCACTAGTTCTTGGCTCTACTTTGCTGTTTCTTCACGCACAGTTAAGCTTCCACCAATGAAACACAACACTTCTTGCAGCCCACCAGAATAAGGGGATGATTATTTGCTTTTAGCTTCTGTGCAAGCCAGAGTTTTATTGACAGTAGTTTAACACTGATCAAAGAACAGTAAAGCAGAAGCAAGTGGAGTGCAGATATTTATTTTTAAAGGAGAGTGTGAGAGTGGGAATCTTCATAAAAAACTCTGCTGTTCTGTGCTGAAGGAGTACTTTCAGTCCCAGTCCAACCTTTACTGTAATTCCTAACAGGGATTCTGAGATGCTTGAAGAATAAGTCCTGGTGACAGTTTAAAAAAGGTCCTGCTGTATGCATTATAGATCAGTGCTTATATATTATACTAACAGTAAGGTTGCCTATGTCCAAGCACTGGGGGAAAAGAAGACGTCTTAAAGAGGCTTAATATGATCTGAGGGGTATTATAATCCCTAAGTATAGGAAATAAAACTTAATATAACTTATAACAGTAAATGGGGTGTAAAGTCTACACTCATATAAACACAGACTCAGATACAGCTGCTTAGTGCAACTACTCAAGTCCATACAATCCAATTATTCACCCTTGGGTGCATACCTTTGGGTTTCCCAGCTGGATGGCTTTTGCAGGCATTCAGCATGGCTTGTTTCTTCTGAACCTCTGTGAGA